TGCACACTTTAGAATTCAATTTCTAAGCCCTGGACATTTGATTAATATCAGACTGAAAAGAACAGAGTTATTGAGTTATTATATAGTATGGGGTTAGGGAAAGAAGAAGCACATCTGCTGCATAAAGTGCGCTGCTTGAATGTATGTAACAGCAGCTGGAAGCTGGCTACAGGGTATTTGCTAGTCGACACACTCTCGACTAGAGTACTCTTCCTTTTTTTGTTTTTTTATAAAAGTATATATGGGCTATAGAGATGTGCCATGACGAATGGTGCACGCAATCCAAGCTCCAAGTCGCTCAACAAGTTGAAAGATACCTAAAATAAATGTAAGATTTTGCATCTCATTTAAACTGCTGAGACATGGATATATTGAGCAGACTTATTAATGACACTCACACGACTTAAGCTGAGGGAAATATAAATCAGCTTTTCGAAGATTGTAACCATCGCCCGCTCGATTCTGCTGTATTTCTATTTTTATGGTCAGCACTTTAAACTTTAATTTTACAGTAATTCCCAACCAATTTTAGCCAAAGAACATGAACATTGATTTCTCACAACAAAACTACGATTATTGCCAAAATGTGCGTAGCGTTTACTCGCGGCTATTAAAAGTACCGACGGTGGCTGCTGGCATTGGCATTGCAAACATTTTGTTGCTCATTAAATGCACTCAGGCAAATTTATACCCATTTATTTTTAAGGGCGTTTCAGCACCAAGTCCCGTAGGGTCGCCAAAAGGGGTGGGGGCAGAGGCAAAGACGAGCAGAACGCTTTAATGACGCTCACTAAAAGTGTTTTTTTTTTTTCGTATTTATTTAAATGCGAGCAGAAAGCAACAGCCGCGCCTCAGCTGCTGGCTGATAGCATAAAAGATATGGGCAAAGGGGAATGGGAGCAGGCGGAGCAGGTGGAGCAGCCGGGGGACAAGGCTGCTGAACAAACTTTATGACTTTTATCTACGCGCAAGTTTCGCACTGGCGCCCAACAACAGCGACCGAAATCGAGAATGGGAACTAAGACAGACACTGGTGGCAAGAGCGGCAGCGGGGCAAGGATACCATCAGCCGAGTTTTTAAACATGCCTCACGGCCAAATGCATAAATATTTTCAGTGCCAGTGTCGCGAGCGCGTGAAAAGCTGGCTGAAAGAGAAACATGACATTTTTCATATAAATTTATTTGGCTTTGGACGCTTTTGGCCGCCCTGCCACAACATTGATGGGCGTGGCATGACGCATTTGCATATTGGAGCCAAGCAGCACCAAAGTGCCATAAAAGCCAGCTACAGCTGAATGAAATGAAGTCAAATAACAGAGTACAAAGTACCAGCGACAGCAGCTAAACGACCAAAACAGAACAGGACGAAACAAACCAAACCAAACCAAGCCATTCCACACCAGACCATGCCAGGCCAGGCCAGGCCAGACTTGACCGGACCCCTAGACGGGAAAAGCAAAAGATATAGGTAATAAAAAGTTTATATAATAGCAGATGCCATACTAAAATGGCCAACAGCCAGCCAATCTCAGTAGCACTCTTGCCCCAGGGGGGAGGACTGTTCACTAGCATTAAAATGTCATTGCGCAAAGGTGTACGATAATAAGAGAAGGAGAGTAAGAGAGAGAGAAATAAAAGCATATGAAAGTGAGGCAGTGCAAGGAAAGTAAACTGTAGTCGATCTGTCAAAGAATTGCGTACCTACTTGTCGTCTACTTCCTGTCATCTCTCGCTCTTTCAGTCTCTCTCTCTCTCTCCCTCTCTCTCTGTCTCTTAACAAATACACTTTTAAGCTTTTTATATGTGCTAGATAACTTACTATGCTCTAAATAGGTATACTTTTGTACCTATCAGTTATAATTAAAGATCTTACCTAAACATTCTCACTATAATCCAATAGCATCAAGAATGGATTGAGTATTATATTTTTAAATCTATCCTGTTAAAAATGTACATCCAACTAAATTAGCCATTTAAAGGTACATGTAGTCCATATTAATTTAATTACTCTATATCACATGACAGCAACCGTCAGTTGTATACGAAATAATGAAATGCACAAGAAATGAATGAAAATTATTTATTTACATAAAAGAAAGCGAGCCGCGTCAACAACATCATCGAGTTACAAATTCGTTTACGGTGTTTCGAAACAGACTCTAGTTGAGGTGATTTTATTGGTGTGTCTGCGGAAAATGTTGTTTATGGCAAACAGTTTGCCAGGTTTTCGCCTTTTCCATGCCATGCACCCATTAAACCAAGTCGAAAAAGGCATAACTTTATTAAAGTGCATTTGAAACAAGCAGAAAGACACCGTAGATCACTTGTACTTAAACTTCAAAATACTTTTTACAGCTCTCCCAAAAAGTGCTTTATCAGAGATCAGCTTTGATTTTGGCATTGAAGAGGATATTATTGAAGTTTTTTTTCGCAGTACACGTTTTATGTGCGCTTGAAAAACAGGATATCTCTTTGTCAAGCACTTTCGATTGTGCACATGAATTTAGTTTTATTTTTTTTGTTTTTGGCGCTTCGAGCAGATTGTGTCAGATATTAAATTTATTTACGCGAAATTCGCACTTCGGGCGGTGTAAATCAACAACAACAACTGTGCATGTGGCACAAAATTGTTGCCGAAAAAAAGTAAAAAATATATAACAAAAGAATTGAACAAAAATAAAAGACAAATTCTGCCGAATTGCACACATCGCATTTTATGAAAGCTGTGTATAGCATTTGAATACCCTGTGCCCATTGCAAATGGCAAAGAGAGAGAGGAGTTTTGTAAGATGATATGAAGAAAGTAACTTGTGCCTCATTGGGGATATTTCATCAGGTACTTCCGACAAGAGCACTCTAATTGGAAATATCTGAAAAGGCTCTTTTATACTCGCTTAACAAATTCAGAGAGAGTATATATATTAAAGCTTAAGACTCAAAACCAGGAATACAAATCCGTATATATCCGCAATACTCACTTTGTCGATAATGCTTCGCTCTTTGGCTGTAGGGTATCTGAGAGTTAGACACTCACATCTGGCGCACTTTTAGCAATTGACTTTGGTTTTGTTTTATGTTTATCGCTGCAGATTACCAACTCGAAAAAGGCGTTCGACTGTACGAAGTTAAAATTTGACTGCACTCGCAGCTGTGGGGATAATGTTTCAATTGGGGCCCGGGCCCTGGAACAAAGGGACTATACTAAGTTGATTGGATTGCAGCCGTTGTGTCCAGGCGATGTGGTTGAAACTCGAATGCAAATCCCCTCGCTGCTGCAAAGTTGGTCACCAATTGCCAGTTTGCGATTGCATCACACTCGGCAATACAGTATGGTCAAAATAAAACGGAAATAGTTTCTCATTAGCAAATACCATAAAAATGAAAAGCAATGGAAAATATCTATGATTTTAGAACCCCTTCAAATATATTTGTCGAATTTTTTATTGAATGTTATGAAACATGTTTTTCTAAAACGCGTTTCCATTTGTTTGTTTGTTTGTTTGTTTGTTTATTTATTTATGGGAAGTTGCAAAAAAAAACACAAAGGTCGCACCATTCAGACAATTATTATTCAAATATTTTATCGTTTTTATTTTATCGTGCAAAGGCGCCAGCAGACACAAAATGCGAATACATGTGCTTAACAGCTGAAAAAACACACGTAGAAATATTCGTTTGTTAGCTGCCGAAGAGTTAATGCCCTAACTTGATATGATACTTAAAAAGAGTATTCAACATGAAGATATTTTCAGGCATCAGCTATTAACTGTTCAATTTATGTGCGGATATAATACTCAACAATGTTAAGCCCCAGACTGACTGTGACTTAAGGGGAAGAAAGATTTTTGCAAGCTGTAAAGGCGGGCCGCAAAAGATTTTGATTTGATTTTGAAAGGAACTTTGAAAGGAACGTGATTGTTGAATCTAGCTCTAAGACTGTGAGACATATCGATATATTCGCTCTTAGTGGGCTGACGCAGATAAACACAATTGCAAATAACCAACATAGTCTCTTTCACATCGACGAACTTAAAACAATAAAAAGACTTGGGAGTTTCAAGGGGGGCTCATCATATTGTCAGCTAGAGCCAATACATATAAGGATTTTGAGCAATATTTTAGAGCTTAATCGAAAGGTTTGGCTGACCTTTTCTCTAAAGAGAATCTTGAGTTTGATATGTAACATGTTTCGCTGGAATCGCACGGCTCGACACTCAAGCTGTTAGTGGAGTTGGGCGCGAGCTGGGCGGTGAGAGACAGATGTCAGTTTATATAACCACACAGCTATATTTATATAAGTACTACATGCTGTTCAATTGTACGTAGTGCAACACGGTGGTTATGCAAATGACTGACAGATACATTGATATTGTTGCTATGTCTTTGTTTTTTCATACCCTGCATCAATTGAATGGGTAAACAAACGGGTATGCTGGCTTTATGCGTGGAATGTAACATGGTATGTATATTCCAAGTCCGACTCTAGTTCTGAGCTTTATGTGTACAGTTTATTTCAAATGATCGATATCTAAGCGCAATCGACAAAACTCGATAATAACTTGCTGCAAATATCGTAGAGTATAAAAGAGACTTATAATTTAGTAAGTTAATTCTCGTACAGTAAACACAAACTATGAATACCTAATGTTTCTGATACTTCCCACGATTCCCATCCAAACTGAATTTAAGTTATTGCGCATGTATAGAGTACCCACTAGTCGGACACTTTTGACTGGAGCGCTCTTATGTGTTTTCTTTGTTTTGCTTATATTTTTGATTTAACTGCTGCAGTAGCTGTTACTGCTCCTGCTGAATGCTGGGCCGTAAAAATATAGTACGTTGATTTTCCAACTTGTTTTTTTTTTCAAGTGTGGGGGGCTCTGTTTCCGGAGCCCTAGCTCCGTCATAAAACTGTGCATGGGCAATTGGTCAAGGCGATTTCCTGTTTAAAATAAAGTTTATTTCAAGATTTATTCGTTTATTTCTCTTGTACTTGCAGACTAAATACTTTGGAATTTACTCACTTTGAATTGATCACGGCTAGAGTCGAAAAATAAGAATTGGTAAGTAAAAGCAATAATCGTTCTCGTAGCGACTTAGAATAGCTATAGCTTTTAAATCGACTGCCCTAAGTGCAGTCCCAGCAGATGGCGATAAAGAAAACAACTTGTACATGCGGTATTCCGGTCGCGACAACTGGGCAACTGTGCAGCCAAAGAATTAATGTTCGGGGTTAATTAAAATAAGTAACACACTTTGACAAAATTCCATTTAATCTACTCAGCTTCGAACTCGCAAAGTACAAAAAAGAAGCAGGCGGCAAATTAATTATGCGCATATTTGTGGGCTCAACAACACCCAAAAAAAAAGGGCGACAGAAAAATGGTTGAGGAGGAGAGGAAAGAAAAAAGGTTCACTTTGATTTGCATTTTTCGGCGCACTCGAATACGCCATTTATGACATTTACCGCACATTGCGTGGCAACTCTGGCAACCACCCTCAACTCTCTATTAATTACAACAATCCACCACTAATCAGTTGCTGGCCGAAGGCCCCCCAGTAGCCACTCCAGTGGGGTCCAGTGGGGTCCAATGGAGTCCAGTGTAGTCCAGTGTTAAATGGTCCGCTGAGCCGCATAATTTCCAGGCGTTAAGTCACGGACTCTGCGCGAATCGAGAATACTCGCAGAGCTACTCGGTGGTAAATATATTCGTAATTCACGATATTAATATTCAGAAAGTGTGCGGCTTTCAGAAATAATAAAAATATATATTAATGCATATAGCTTAAACAAAGATATATTTATTTAAAATATATTTGCATAATTTCATTTTAAAAGATGAGTTTAAAAAGATTGAGATATAATCAAACAAAAATCTGTTCGCATTAAAATTGGCATAAATACGATATTTTGTCGTTTTGAATCGAACCGGTTCGGGCACGAAATTTCAATTTAGTTTTCATCATGAGCATATTTTTTGATTTAAAATAAAAGACTTTTGAGTGAGATCGTGCACCAAAGTATAAATAACTTTGGTCCCAAGCATCGGCTTCATCTAAGCAGCTACAGCTGCAACATAATCTGTCGACTTGAAACAACAAATTTTGGCATAAATAGTTTGTTGTTGGGATTTTTGAAACTCACCAATTGAATATTTCGTTCCGCTTCGAAAATATGAACTCAATAGCACATATCACTCAAAGGAACGATCGATTGCCAAAAGTTTGCCCCTGTTAATGTCTGTATGTTTACGCTCATGTTATATAAATATTTAAAATCGTATGTTTTGTGGCACTGCATAAATTTCGAATTCGAATTTGCATGCGAGAGTTAAATTGGTTAACTATAATGTATTTATTGTATTGCTGCTCACCTTTTATCAGATGCCATTCCCCACTCTTTGAAACGGAAAAGTGCTATAAAACTGTCTTAAGCCTGTGCAAATGAATGGCACTCGCGCTGGACAATGGCCGCACTTATGGCACACAAATACACACACACACACACACAGGCACACATGCACATGGGAAGAAATATACATATAGATATACATTTGTCGTGGCCCAATATGAGCAACAATAAATTGCTGAACCGCCTCGCTCATTAAATATGCATATATAAGTACGGGCTTCTTATATGTATATGAATATGTGTGCGCGTGTGTGTGTGTGTGCGCGCGCGTGCGTGCGTGTGTGTGCTGTGTCTTTACGTTTAATTCAATAACGCAGCAGCAACTCGTTTACCACGCCTATAACGCCCACAAAAGGTACAGCGACTGTGGAACGTGCAATCGTGCTGTTCACAGGACATGCCAGGACCAAGCACAGCCTCAGCTGCAGCCGTTTGGGTGTATGTGTGTCTCTGTCTGTGTGTGTGTGTGTGTGTGTGTGTGTGACATGGGAATTTTTCCACTTGGGTTTTGTTGGGCCGTCTGTCGTTTCATTTTCATGTTCCAGACTTGACGCGTTCGAGCATGTCGAGGCATTCAATTTCTTATTTCCTCGTCTGTTGTCGCATTTTCATGTGGTGTCATGTGCTTGTCTCACGCACTCTGCCCACCTCCCTTCCGCCCACTCTCCTTGCCACTCTGGGAAAGTCAATCATTTCATTTTGGTGTGCTATCCCAGCGCCAAGCCTTAAACGAAGTAACCAGGCAACAGTTTGCACCAGCACCAATTTATTTCTGTTTAATGAGAATTTCACAGAATTTTCATGGATGCTTCAGCTTATAAATATTCCCTGTAAACAGAACCATCGACAGTATTTTGAGTACTTTGTTTTTGCGTCGAACCTTTGCTTTAAGGTAAATATGACTACGTATGTGTGTAAGGAGTGTCTGGTAGTCAGGCAATGGCGAGCACTTACCTGTTTTATTCGCCTGCCTCAAGCATAAACAACAGCTTCATTTGCAGACAACTTTTTAATATGATCTATATACATATGTATGTGGGAATATATATATGTGGTATGTCTATATATGTGTGCATGCCCGTCAAATTGAGGGGCAGGCAATAGAGCTGGAGCTGGCAGCAAACTCCGTTTAATGCAATTATTGTCAACATAAAGTTGATAAAGTGCGCTGCATGTCGCAGCCAATGAAGAGCAGTGCCTGAGTTGGGTCTGTAACTGGCCCAAGGCCTTGGGCCTGAGTCTGGGCCTGGGCCTCTTTGTTCCGTTCCTGGTAGGCTGTCAATTATCAAAATGGTAGCCAAGAACTTGCAACCGGCAACTTGCACCTGGAGCACACTTCAAAGCGATGCGACCAAAAATTAATTAGCAGTTTGTGCGCATAACTAGAACTGGAACCACAAGATACTTTGCCTGGCAATTGCCATGGCCCCCCTCCACCAAACCCCTCTTATCAGTAGCTGTGCGAAATTTCATAAATTTTACTTGCCTGGCCCAATGTGAATGAAATATCAGCCACTGTAAGGCAAACAGAAAGTTGAATCGTTAAAAAGCCAAAAAGGCAAAAAACCAAAAAATAAAAAAAAAATATAAAAATGTTGTATGCAAAAGTTTTGCAAAAAGCATTAAAATTTAAAACGCTCCCCCAAAGGGAGCGAGTGAGAGAGAGAGAGAGAGAGAGAGAGAAAGAATTATGACGACCGTCCGTAGCCGGCTGGTCATGGTCAAAATATTGAAAATATTTTCCAACAGCAACACCCGTGCCCCCTGCCCCCCGCCCCTACCCAGCACGAGGCCCGGTGTTAATAATTTGTTTTGTTTCTACCTTGCGGTTGGGAAATTTTTTGTTGGGCCTCAAAATGTTAATAATTGGCATTTCTGTGCGGGATGCTGTAACGGATAGAAGAAGTAGGTGCCCGTCCGGAAAGGCAAAGGCGGAGGCGGAAGCGGAGCCGGTGGCGCTGGAGCTGGCGGTGGCGACGAGGAGGATGCATTCCATAAATTGTTTCGGAAATTACAGCTGTACCGCTAGGCGGCTCTAGTGCTGACCATTGGCCGCCTTTCCGACCTCGGGATTGATTACAGTTCATTTCATTTTTTGGGTATTGTTACGCATTCACCCATATTGACCCGTCCCCTTCGCCCCGCTGCTCTTTTCGTACATATTGTAGCTGCCCCATTGATGTGCTGCGATGATTTTTATTTCATTTCGGGTTTTTCTTTTCATTTTTTTTTTGTTGTTGTTTTATTGTCCTGATTCATTTCAATATTTGCCTTTGTGAGCTTATATTATTGTTCAAATTGTTCCTTTTTTGATTCTCAGCGAGCAAATTTGCGTATTAATTTTTTAATTTCCAGAAAACTTGCTGACTCAGGCAAGCCATATACGTCATGCTTGATTACAGTTGAATACACTTGCAGACTCCACACACAAGCTCACGTACCTCTTACGAATTCTTTTGTAAAATTATAAAAGAAAGTAGAAACAATTGAACAAAAATGAACTTTATAAAATAAATACCAGTTAGTGTGTGTAGCTATTTTCGACATCAAGTCCAGGCACCTTGTCACTCGTTTAAAGCTTAAACTTGTTGTGAATTGTAACACAAAAGAGCAAAGCAAACGCTATTAAACCACACTTTCGGTGTGTTGCATTCTGTTTACATATAACGTTTACTTTCGCACTCCGTTTTCACACAGAGACACGATCTTCCGTCAATTAATAAATAACTAATTTGGCAATATAGAGCTACCTGTCATTTCCGAGCTGACAATTGACTTGTTTATAATGTTAAGCTTTATATGCTGTTTGAAAATTTTGCTTGAATAGATTTGGCTAAAATTATAAAATGTTATGTAAAATGTACATAAATTTGCAGAGGCAGCTGTACAAATGCAATTAGCCACTTTTAGGACATGGAAATTAACATGCGGTTGCATTATGTGTGCTTGGCGTGTGCCTGGTGTGTGGGTGTGTGGGTGTGCGTGTGTTGAACATGTTATAAGGACACAAAAGATATACTCGTCTAAATATATAAATGCATAATGCCATATGCATGCATATTTATTTAAACAACTCGCTTTGATTGTTGGGTAACCAAACCCCAATGCAGCGCAGCGCACCTCCGCACCTCGGCACCTCGGCACCTACGCACCACCCACAGTCCTGAACACGCCTCGGGCTGAATTGCGTAATGAGTTTTACGTATTAAGCGCATTTAATTGGAGTTTTTGTTGCTGGATTTGTTTTTGCCACTGCGTCGGTGTGTGCCCCAGACAAATGCGCGTTAAATTGAATAAGCTGCAATAATTGCATAAGTTTGATTAGTTGGATAAGTGGTTTCATTGGCCCAAAACGCTCGCACCACCAGCCAATTAAGGCCCCAACTTTGGCCTGCCGATAATTTAGCCGAGGCCGTTCCAACAAATAGCCTACCAGTGCTGCCAAGGCACTTTGAAAGAAATATTTCTTTTGAATAAATCCTTACCAGATCGGCCTGTCCATGGACATCACATGGCCAAAGATTTTAGCTGAAATAAAAACCAATCATATATCAGATAAATAATATATTGTCTTAAGTATAAACAACATTTTATAAATGTTGATTTTATAAATACTAAAAATATTGCCAAAATAATAATGTATTTTAAAAT